AATCACAGACACACATCAAGAAGCTCTCACGGTTTTGACTTTTTTAAGTGTGTTCATTGCCATTATTATTTTGTTATAATAATGTTATTTGATGTATTGTCTTGAATTGATAATATTTTATACAAAATTCTCCAGTGATTTTTCTTAACCCCTTGAGTTGACGAATTACTGATTTAAAACTAAGACACCTTTCAGAAAGATACTAATGGAGTCTACAATATATATTAATTGATATTTATACATTGTAGTAAGAACAGAAACTTAATCTGTATATTATAAATCATTTATAAGAAGCTAAACTTGTCCATATTAAACAAAATATTTGAGAAAAAATAAGACTTAAAAATATAACAATGCCTTTATAGATGGAGATACATATTTTTTGTTATATTTGCCACAAACAGGACCTGTTAGCACTAGACTTAAATCTATACTGGTACTTTACACTATTTTGAACACTATTAACACTGGTATTTCCACGGAAGTGTGGAAATAAACATTTCCTTCACCAAATTAAATAAACATTTCATTTCATTCATGCCTTCAGAAATCTGAAGGCAGTGGTGGAAGTAATAAGGAAGGTAGTGACATTCCAATGAGGGGCATGTGGAAGATATAGCAAGATTGCGTTGCTCCTGGTGGTGATGGCTACTCCACCCACAATGGCGGGCATATGATCAAGGTTTTCAAGTGGATTAGAGACCATTATGTGCCTCTGTAACACGGGAGACATCTTCCGTCACGCAGGGTGCAGTCGCACCTCCACAGATCTCCAGTATCATCTATTGATACTGGAAATGGCTCAAAAGGGCCATTACTTATGGGCTATTCATGCCCAAGCCACCTATTGGGTGGCTTAATCTTCTCTCTCTCTGCCTCTGAAACCCTTTCCACTACCGCCCACAAGATGGGTATGGGGTGCATAATAAATGAACTAATTAGTGGTATGAACAGGGGGGATGGTAAATAGTAATCTAAAACTATCAGAACAGGTGTTCGCCAGAGCAACTGTAATTTTGACATGTGATCGATAGTAATTACCATGCATTGAGTGTGCGGATAAGTGAGATCGATGAGTGTGTTTGGAGGGTAGTGATGGCAACACTTATTGATGGTAGTGATGGAGTGAGCCAGACACTTGAGGGACAGCCTTGAGTGCGCCACCCAGTACAGTGTCTTGTGTGGTACACTCTGGAACTCTTACAGACTGTGATACACTCGCGCACAAATACCTAATTACCTAAATACCTACAATAATTGCGTAGCTCTCATCCTGTAACTACACTTAGGTAATTACCTAACCCGTCCTCCTTATAGCACGTCGTATTTTGACGTATACTTTACATAAGGCCATAAATTGTTGTATTAGATAATGATAGCGGCTCGCGAAATTGGCATTATGTCCTGTTATCTGTTCATGGGTCCTCTGGTAGGTTAGGATAAGGGCACTTTAGTACGACAGTTTCTTGACGTAGGGAATGTTCGCGCGAACCGCTGAATCACCAACACCCTTGAATTCCAACCCTGTACACTAATACATTCATAGTAGGCTACCATTATGAACCACTACTCATACATACACCAATATACTCATTTATACAGAAAAATAGCACCAGGTCCGTTCGGTACAGTAATCTTGTGTGACAAGGAAAGTACAGAAATGAACTACAGAATATGCTAAAGTGGTCCGTATTGCTTGATCATCAGCATTGCATTATTTAAGCACTATTGACATTTTGTTATGTTTGAAAAAAAAATTACACTAAAGCTTTGCTATTCGGTGAGTATTAAACACGAATTTCCATAATAGAATATAGAATTTACATTAATTCCATTTGGATAGGTTTCTTATATTAAAAGCCTAACTACAGCGAGAATCAATACTATCATTCTGTGCCGTAAAATGAATAAATTTGTTTACTAGGTATTAATTAACTCCCTTCAATTGGAACTTAAATCAGTTGATTTTCAAGTAAATATTTTATACTTTCTACTTGATTTTAATGACCATGGTTGCTATCCTAAACTGTACATACTGTACGAAGGCGTGATGTGATGTCTGTATTTGTTAATCAGTCAAGCATTCTATAACTTTACTCATGCATTGTGCATGTGTAATCAACTTAATTTACGAAAGTACAATACATTGGTTATTTATGCAGTATATCAGCCCATTCTCTTAAGATGATAGTACACAGAGCAACTAACTGAATCAGCCCAAATGGTATTACAAAAATGGAAATGTAACTAAAGAACTTATCATAACCTGTCCAAGCAATCCTAGTATTCACTATTTGAGGCCTAACACCATACACATTTGTGCTATTCTACACCTATGAATTTTTGTACGTGTCCTCTACAAAATAAATAGTACCAAACGTGAACTTTTGGGGATTCAAAAGTACATTTTTATACGTTCAACCAAACAGTTGCTGTAAGGACTATCATATTAGGAGGATGGATTGATTTACATAACAAAAGTTTTTGATAAGATTATTTGCTCATAACGTGCTTAACCACGGAATGCCCAATTGATGAGAACTATTTAGAAGCGAATATATTTAAATACCTTGCCAACCCGAGGAACAAAGGTTGGTAGATTTCCAAATTACAATTCTTATGACGAGTCGTTGGCGCAATGGACTGTGACGAACTTGTGATCACTAGGATGGCGAGTTGCAGCCGATTAGCGTTTAACTTTCGAGTAATGATTGGTCCAGGGAGTAGTGATGACAAAGACAGTATTAATTACACAATTGGTGTGGGTGCAAATTTCTGTGTTACTGCTGTTGTTTCTCCTCCTGTGGTTGTCTCCACCATCAGGCCACCTTACAGTGCACCCACCACCTGACCCTCCACCAAGACTACCAGAAGACTTACCACAAGAGCAAAACTCACCACCACTTGTTCCTTCATCAAGACTTACCACAAGGGCAAACCTCACCACTGTTACGTACCTCTCTAAGACACGTAATTAAATAAATTAATTTGTACATATATATATATATATATGCTTACATTTATATATGTTTGCTTACATTTATATATATTTTGTGTAATATATTATTTCATGTTACATTGTTGGAGTTAGGCCCAACGTATCGTGGGAATGATTGTTTTATTCCTTTGTGTACTCAGTGTTTCCCGTGGGAACTAATGATTTATATGTGATCATATGTGGGTAACATTAGGTGAATTATAATTGTGTGAATCGTATCTGGCAAATTGTCGTGGGAGAGTCAGTTGCTGGATGAGCATGCCATCATTCCCTTTGTATGTGTTATTTTAATTACTGTGTAAAGCAATAATTACCTTATTTTTGTTATACATATATTTGTAACCAATTACTAAGTTTAAGCTTACTCTTGTCACAATATATTGCTCCATGTAAGTTTCAATAATAATTGTAACTTTGGCAATTTTTCGCGGGGCAGATGTGATGATTTCTAGTGCTGTCGTTATGTAGGTCAGTCGCTGATAAGGGCCAGGAGAGTTAACATGTTTGTGGAGTTAAGTTGTACATATTTGTTCTGTCATAACCATAACTAGAATAATCTGTTATATTAATTTCTGGGAGAGACAGTAATATTTTTAATTTGATATATTTGTGATATATTGACCATCTGTAATCTATATATTATTGAGATTTATATTGAATATATATATATATAAATTTTATATGTATATTTCTTCAGTCCTAAGGGAAAAAAATTACCAAATTGCTTAGTACTTATTATGGGGTTATACTGGTGACTCGCTCTAGAGAACAACAGTTTGTAGTAGCCCTAGATAATTAAGGTCCATGCTGTTTTAGGGTTACGAGCATTAACGTACGATAGGTAACAACCACCACTTGTTCCTTCATCAAGACTACCAGAAGACTTACCACAAGAGCAAAACTCATCACCACCACCACATGCAGCCTACAGAAGAAGCTGCTACAGATACCACCCAAACCTCACAGCGGAAAACACGTGTTGCAAGATGACCAACTTCAGCGGTGCTCTTCACCTTCTTCACATGTGTATAACACGCGCTAACACACACCTGCTCAACGAGGCAAAGTGAGTCAGTGCTTTGACGTTTGTTTATGCGTTTGCGTGTGCCTACTTATGTGTTGCTTGTGGCTACTTATGTGTTGCTTGTGGCTACTTATGTGTTGCTTGTGCCTACTTATGTGTTGCTTGTGGCTACTTATGTGTTGCTTGTGCCTACTTATGTGTTGCTTGTGGCTACTTATGCGTTGCTTGTGCCTACTTATGTGTTGCTTGTGCCTACTTATGTGTTGCTTGTGGCTACTTATGTGTTGCTTGTGCCTACTTATGTGTTGTTTGTGCCTACTTATGTGTTGCTTGTGGCTACTTATGTGTTGCTTGTGCCTACTTATATGTTGCTTGTACTTACACAAGTGTTGCTTGTGTCTATGTGTCTACTAGAAATCCTTTAATTACTGGAAATTCTTCTATCCAAATTCCAGGACTCTGATATGAAAATAATAATTTAATCAATATGAACTTTTGTATATCCAATACATTATATTTGAGAGATCAAAAATTATATATTTTTCATAATTTTAATTATTCTTTGAAATATTTTTAACCCCAAAATAATTAATTTTTTAATGTGTTTTTTTATTTGCGCAAATGACATCTAATTAGAATAATTGGTCTCCAGAATAGTTTAAATACGAATTAGGTAAACATGCCTATTAATTTGAAAATTGGGTTGAACATATCTAGAACCAGTTTCCGGGAAACATAATATACCGTAGGTTGCTCGAGTATTTCTACCATTGGTTAGATAAATAATAAACACACGGGTGTGGTTACCTACACGAAGTAGCAGCCTCACACGCGACAATAGGCTTCTTGCAGCCTCGTATAAGCCTATGTTCTCCTACTTTTTTTATTATTATTATTTTCTACCACAGACGTGGCCAGACATTTACAATGCTAACCAGCATATAAACATTTTCTTCCTCTTATTTAACCGAGTGGGAACTGGAGGAGACGCAGTAGGTGGTGGTAACTGGTCTTCTGTCCACTGGGTACACTGGGTCCTTGTTGGTGACTCCCATATCCGCTACATCTTGGGCTCCTTCCTCACCCGCTTCAGAAGTCCTGGACTCATGTACCGTGTGAGAGATACTGATGTAAGTAAGGATTACGATATATATCTTTATAAGGTTTAAGCCCTAGGAATGTTATGAGTATTAAACCTTCAATTCACGTTGGTAACAAACCTGCAAAATCTGTGTTCCCTATTATAACATTGGGCATACAAAGAGAGGGTGGCAGAAGACAGTATCCAAGTACATATACACAGGGTAAAAAAAAAGGCTTCCTCAATTGTTATTTATTCTCGTCTCCGAGGCTATGGGTCCTGACATATCCAGTCAGAAATGGTACTATATATATATACAACCTGTCCTCCTACAAAGAACGTCGCTTTTCGCTCGTATGCTTTACATAAGGCCAAAAATTGTCGTACTAGAAAATGTAAGCGGCCTGTGAAAGTGACGTACTGTCCCGTTTCCTGTTTTGGGTCTTCTGGTAGGTTAGGAGAGGACAAATTAACCGTTTTCTTGACGTTGGAAAAATCTTAGGAGGATGGGCTGATACACTCGTGTGATGTAATGTTGAGTGTTGTACCACAGGACTACCACACCACAATATGTAAGTGACAGTATTTATCAACTGATTCAATATCTTATATGAGTGCCTTCGAGTTTCAATAAGTTTCAAGTTACTTACTGTAAGTTAGGGATATTATAATAGATGTGTGAGTTGGGTTTTTGTTTTCAGTCACGTAATTGTGACTTATTCCTTGCAGAATTTTACCCTATTCTTCAATCCGGTCTTATGTACGAAATATATCATAATTGGCAAATGAATATCACTCAAAACGTACATAATAGGTACAACATAGAAAGACTCTGACGTTAGCATATAGTGGAAGTTAGAGATGAATGACTAACGTCACACAGGTGCTGTACTAATACTCATCTCTTTGCTTACTCTGTTATTCTCCCTTTGCCCCATAGGAATGGCACGGCACAGCTCTGCTAGAGAAGACAGTGCGGCTTTCCGTTATACATCGAAGAATTCAAGTGTTTAACCAGGATCTCAACTTCCAGATGACCTATATCTGGGACCCGTACCTGAGAGTGCTTCCGGGGGAGATGGCGGTGTGGGAGAGCCGTCCCCAAGACACTCCTAGCCTACTCATCTTTGGTAGGTTTGGTTCTTGATATAATTATTCCTATAGACTTTATGGAAACGAATGGCTTGTCACATTGCGGCTTGGGATGATGGTTAGTCATTTTGGTAATGTTAGAGTTCATCCTGTAGCCAACCATACTTGTCTATAGCAAATATAGTAAGAGGCAGCAGGCGTATTTCACCCCTTTTTGCTGCGTATCTGGATAAATTAAAATTAATTATCAAAGAAGGCACCAAGGCGGGAAGGCTATGTAGCACTGCGTATCTGGAGAGATATAATTTTTTTAGCAAATATTTGGTACAGTCAGTAATCTTGCCACTGTTTACAATTAGGATTAAAAATAAATTTCACGCAATCACCAGTAGATTGCTAGACTCGTAACAACATAAATTGGGTAGGAGGGTGATCAACCTATTAAAAGAATAATAAACGCAAATGAGGATTCCAAATTAAAATAACCAGGTAGAAATAGTAAAAAAGAAATGGGGTTGCGCTGCTTCTTTCAGGGGAAACACAGAAAACCATCAAACACAGAGGTCTGACACACTGCTACAGCTTTGTTCCGATCGGTTTGGAGACCCTCGGTTCATAGGGAAAATGTGCATTAAAGTTCGTGGGGAAATTGGGCGACAAATCGATCAGTTACAGAATAATAAAGAGCGGAAAACTTCTTGTTCCAGTGGCTCAGTGTCGCAATTCATAGGCGAGGGAAGGAATTATTAGGATAAAGCGCCAAGCCATTTCGACTATATAGCCCTAGGAAAGGATCAGGATAAGGATTTGAGATGGGACGGGGGAATGCCTGCTGCATTTTGGACACAAGTCGAACCTAGAAGAAATTCGAAGAGGAGATTGACTTGTAACAATGATCGAATCTGTGTCATTTATTAATGTATCCTTTTGATGTGCTTTTAATTTTACTTGTAATGGTCGTGTTGTGTGTGTGTGCGCTAATGTCACATTTTGTAATCATATAATCATGAACAATAAAGTTTCCTATATATACTGTGTAAATATGTACCGAGAGACCGAGCGATATAACATACTACTCGCTGTATATACACTATCCCTGGACAATTTTCAGGACTAAAGTAATAGCTGGGAAGGTAGATAAGTTGATGCTTAATGGTTGTGTTCTGTATTTTTAGTGTTGCAAATTTGGACATATCCAGAGATGATAGTGATTGGGATTTGGGGCTGGAGTCGGGAACTGGAACCGGTTAGATTATTCAGTGCAAATTTTTTTGGGGGTATGTTATAATTTGAGCTAGAGTTGCCTCCATTATTAGCGTAACCCAAGGAGCACCACAAAGAGGTATATAACAACAGGAGTTACTCCCCGATATTGATCATGACGACCTCTCTCGTTGACAGGTGGCGCCTTACACTGGATGGTGAAGACACAGAAACTCTATGCCAAGAATGGAACAGAGGCAGCGGCGGCCAAGTACAGATAGCATATGAAGAGCTTAAGGCCACACCTGACACGACTCTCAGCAGAACAACCGTCGTTTTCAAGCTGCTCAACGACCTCAAGGTAATGTTTGGTGCCAGACTTCATTCCTAATCTCTTATGACAAGTTGTGGATACACTAGTCAAAGGTTCATCCATCCAGTACTCCTGTTCAGACTCCCAGCCGTTTCCAGTCGAGCCAAGGTAGCTAGTCTCCGAAGCTTGATTTTAAATATTTAATATATATTTATTGTACGCCATGTGTCACAGACCAACCCGTTCTCGCAAATTTAATACGTCAATATTGACTTATTAAATATGTGCATAGGTGACATACTTAACATAATAGATAGCCTTAAAAAGATTCATAGAAAACACCGACCTTACCTAACCTTGTTAGTATCTTAAAATAAGCATCTTATTGCTTCGTAATTACAATTATTACCTAACCTATAATAGGTATAGGTTAAGTAATAATTGTAATTACGAAGCAATAAGATGCTTATCTTAAGATACTAACAAGGTTAGGTAAGGTCGGTGTTTTCTATGAATCTTTTTATTGGTATCTATTATGTTTAGTATATCACCTAAGCACGTAGTTAATAAGTCAATATTGACTTTACGAATTTGCGAGAACGGGTTGCACAGACATATAATAATAAACTGCAATAGTAATATATTGTTTCCAAACGTCGGGGAGCAGGAAGTCTATTAGGCTTGCAGAGCCAACGACCGACCTTCCCTAGGATGCTATCTGCAAGTTACTAACTGTTGATAGAGCCCAAGATGGCACTCATGTGCCACTGGTTGGGAAACCTTGATTATATATATATATATATATATATATATATATATATATATATATATATATATATATATATATATATATATATATATATATATATATATATATATATATATATATATATATATATATTAAATATGACCGAAAAAGTAAGATTAATAATTCTAACACGAATTTTCTCAATCTTTCGTACATTACGCTTCACTGTTGGAGGTAAATCAAAAATCACTTCTCCAAAATTCATTTTTATTTCTAGTCTGACGCGACACGGGCGCGTTTCGTAAAACTTATTACATTTTCAAAGACTTCACAAATACACAACTGATGACTCTCCAGACACAAAACAGAACGCTTTAAAAGAGACTAATGTCGTCTATGCCTTCAAATGCCCACTTGGGGACTGTAAGCTCCAAAAAACCCAGTATATAGGCAAGACAACAACATCTCTTTCTAGGCGTTTAACGATGCATAAGCAACAGGGCTCCATTAAGGAACATATAATCTCTTCCCATAACCAAACCATCGCCAGAGAAATCCTAGTAAACAACACAGAAATCATCGATAGATACAGCGATAGCAGGCGGCTTGACGTTTGCGAGGCACTACACATCAAGAAGTCAACACCAGCAATCAACAGCCAATTATTGCACAACTATATTCTACCCACCTCAAGACTCCGCTCCAATATAGAAGCATCAAGAAATATGGACCAATAGGCTTTCTACAAACACTTCTATTCAATACCCATTGTTTCTGTTCTGTCTTGTGTTGATACTTTTAATACCCTATTAATATCCCCTCCTGTTCTGTCTTGTGTTAATGCCACATCACCCTTCCCACCTCACTCAAATGTAGATATAAAATCAGAGATACGTTCTAATCAGTTGTGTATTTGTAAAGTCTTTGAAATGTAATAAGTTTTACGAAACGCGCCCGTGTCGCGTCAGACTAGAAATAAAAATGAATTTTGGAGAAGTGATTTTTGATTTACCTCCAACAGTGAAGCGTAATGTACGAAAGATTGAGAAAATTCGTGTTAGAATTATTAATCTTACTTTTTCGGTCATATTTAATAATATATGTCTACAGGAAAGACTGCTACCAAAATATACTATATATATATATATATATATATATATATATATATATATATATATATATATATATATATATATATATATATATATATATATATATATAATGTATTCGAGAGAAACTAGACATACACGCACACAAACATAGTCACACCCTCAAAGATGGATCATTATCTATGGTAAATATTTCAGAAAACCTATGTAATCAACTCTACGGAAGCGGTCAAAAGCTTCAGGAACTATGTCCTGTACAACAAGTTGTCAGGGACGGGCGTGAACATCTGGGACAGCACGAGGCCTCTCTCCACCGACTACGCCCACCACTGTATCAAGAACCCCGAAATGCAAACCCCTCCATACTTCTACTGGAAGTGTCAAGACTTAGGTCATGTTGGTTACATCCTGGTCGACCAGTATGCCGATATGATCATCAATGACTTTTGTAACAAACATCTCAATATCTCTGGAGCTTGTCTATAAAAAAGATGCTTTCATGGATATACACATTCTCAAGAAATACAATATAAGCGAAAGTTTGATTCACAAAGACGTGACTTCCACACACACTTGGGAGAATGATAAGGTTCGTTGAGCACGCCACCTGACTATTAGTGTATACACATTTAAATTTCATTCATATTCTGCCAAAGATGAAAAATTCTAATTTGTATAGCCTTTTGCATATATTTAAATTACATTATTTAATCTTCGAAAATTGGACTCAAATGTATACGTTTTTTATTATATACAGTAATTTAACAAATAATTCAATCATTAAGATGTTTACATAGCACATGAATTGACAATGTATATACATATACCGACAGGTAGACCTTGAATCTCGGAGTATATACATTGAGAATATATTTTAGTTTAGGACTATGGTCAGTTCTGAAGAATACTAAATATTCATTATGTAATTGTGGTGGCTTTAATAACCTTACAGAGGTTGAGAGGCCTTAATCCCAACAACATACAAAAATCATTTGAATCCTGACCATTTGAATAGGTTGTTTATAATTGTGGTTAATATATAATTACGAATAAAGTGCTGGACCTAGATTCAGGAAGCTCTGTGTATTTCTTCGTAAGTGGGTTTGCTATGAAGGTTCCTAAGTGCGCCCTAAGAAGATGCTTAGGTGCGATTCAATAAGTCCACTTAGGGAGATATTTGGGTTTTGGGTCTTGTTCACTTACGTGCCGACAGAGGTCACTACTGTGTTTCGCTTGGCCAATCAGAGTGACTGTTACATTTCTAACCTGACCAATCACGCTAATGCAATATCCAGCTGTGTTATGTTAACATTGTGGTTCCTCGTGGTATTGTTGTCAGGAAAATCATCTGTTGCAAACTCCACCACTATCAAGAAGAAATGATGTGTGCATCTAGTCATGTGCCTGAAACAATCAAACACTATCTCCTTCACTGTTTTCGACATCGTAGTGCCAGAGTAAATAAAAAAAAAAAAAAAAATAGCGCACTTAAAATAACCTTTGCCATCGTGTATATTACTAGGTGACATCTCGTTACATGAAAATTATCCAATAATCAAAGCACTGGCTAAATATCTCCAGTGACCAACAAAGTGGCCACATTTCCGTGGCCAGTCTCCGTGGTGTAGTGGTAAGACACTCGCCTGGCGTTCCGCGAGCGCTATGTCATGGGTTCATATCCTGGCCGGGGAGGATTTACTGGGCGCAATTCCTTAACTGTAGCTTCTGTTTAACGCAACAGTAAAATGTGTACTTGGATGAAAAAACGATTCTTCGCGGCAGGGGATCGTATTCCAGGGACCATAGGATTAAGGACTTGCCCGAAACGCTACGCGTATTAGTGGCTCTACAAGAATGTAACAACTCTTCTATATATCTCAAAAAAAAAAAAAAAAAAAAAAAAAAAAAAATTTGACCTGTGCCACATTCATAGTTGGCGCAACCAACAGGCAAACACAGAAGACAAGTGTCTGGCCGCAGCCTTAAGGATTATAGCTGACGCCAGCACAAAACCACCCCGTCCTACAGTGCGGCGTCTAACTCTAACACGCCTCTGTTTATTCACTTTATCTACAGTACAAGACATCAAACACTTTTGAAACCTAGTCATTCTCAACATTAACGCGTCTCCCGACTTTTGTACTCGTGCAGTCATCGAGAGAATAGAAACTTCACGCAAACTACACCTACCATCAAGAACCCAAAAAAACATACTACATCCTCTTAGTATTCATAAATAAATAAATAAGACAAAGAAAATGTCTGGGATAAAAAGGAAAGCAAACTTCAGTGAAGAGGAGCTGACAGTTCTCGTTGATGAGGTTAAGAAGAGAGAACGCATAATTTTGGGAAGCTATCAAGACAAGTCACTACCCAAGATAAACACTGTGCCTGGAGCCAAGTAGCTGTTGCTGTAAGTGGTGTTGGTCTATGCTCAAGACAACAAGCCAATGTTCGCAAGAAATTTCAGGATCTTAAATCTTCAGTCAAGAAAAAATTGGCAGAAAATGCCCAGGAAATGAGAAATGAAAAATAATCAGGCACTATGAAATTTATTTAAATCTTTTTAATTATAATCTCTAAAAATAGGATAAGAAATTATAATATTTTGTAATAACAATTGTAAATAAGAACAATATTGAAACATTAAAATGTAACAATTATTCATATCATTAATTTCGCTATGACTTGCATAGTATATAGTGTAATTAATAACCAATCTACCTCATATAGTCAACTGATGTTTAGTGAAATATTTACATGTTTTTTTGTATTAAAGAATGTTTATCAATTGCTAGGTTTAATTGTTGAGAGTACAAAGTAGTGACAATATGAAAAAAACGCCAGAATAAGAAACATTTTTATTGGCAAAAGATTAATGGCAAAGATATAATTATTTTATCACATCCCTAATATATGTTTCATCTCAAATTGGTCTAAGGGCAACATATTGATGGCCTATATCAATGTTTTGTGTATATCATTTAAACAAAATTATATTTAATTTTTCCCTTACATGTAAGGTATATTAAACACTGTACTGTATTGAAAGCAACTTTAATTTATAATTAAATAATTCAATTTTAAGGCCAATGATGTGTGTACACAGCATTGGCTAACAAACACTGTTATTTTACAAAGCAAAATTTACCCAGCCATATTTTGTACCACATTTCTTAGTGTCTATGAATAAATATTTATTGATATATTTTTCACACAAATTTTTGGTCTTTTGTCAGATGCATATATTTCTCCTCAGGTATTCCATATAAAGTATAGCAGCATAAATAATATTTCCAAATCAGCAGGTACATGTTTGTAACAGTTTGTTTGTATATTTATGTTTCACTTACATATACAGTATGTGCTATTGAATTTAATAGGTAAAAATTGATAGGATAACTTACAAATAAATCTATGAATCCAATTATGAATGTTTTTGATTTCCCTTATTGATAAATTCTTGAGTTACGGTACTTGTATTTTTATACAAAAGCTCCATTATGTAGTGTTTTCAATTACATGTTTTACTTTGTTATATAAGTATGATTTGAAATAAAATTTATGAGAAAAAATTCCTTACTACTTCCCTTCTTTGTGTGTGCCCATTTTCATGTGCTCCACCTTCAACATTTCATTCATTATAAAGTCATCATCAATGATCTCTTCAAGAGGTATTCTTTGCTCAATGCAATAATTGTGCAACAACATACATGCAACTGAAATCTTTGCACATTTATCTGGTTCATATTGAAGACTACCACCAGACCTGTGGAGACACCTAAACCGAGATTTTAACACGCCAAAAGTTTTCTCGATTACCACTCTTGTTCTTGCATGGCTCCTGTTATACAGCTCTTCTGGAGGGTTTTCAGGGTTTGTGAAGGGTGTAAGTAAGTTGTGTTGCAAGGGATAGCCACTGTCACCTGCATAGATATTTAATTTATAAAATGTGCATACATCTTTAAAATAACTCACTAATCCTAAACCCACACTTTCTTTCACACACTATTTGATTCTAGCATCTGAAGTGGTTGGTTACCTTCCTCTGTCATATGAATACCTCTTGCATTACATACATCATTCTCATTTAATGTTCAGAGGCATATAACTGACATGTCAAAACAACCAAAATGTAATCCACTTCCTTCCATATTTAACTTAATCATCCACTGTAATCTCTGGTACACCCTGACACATGATGTATATAAACACCAGTTTTAAACACATTTTTCTGCTGATTTCCATTCAAAATTCTCACTTTCATTCTCCATATCAGGGCTAAAACACATTGTCATTTCTTTAATATAAAATCAACATGAATAAATTTCTTTATACTATTCATAATACAATAAGCTGTAACCATTCAATATTAAACAACTTTTATTTATAGACTGTATAGTGTATTGTTGTGACTCGATAAATAACAAATAGGCAATCTACTGTACTATAAATATAGGTATCTTTATGTATCTTTTGCTACCCAGTCTCCCAATCTTTATGTACCCATCTGAACTGTTTACCATGTGATCATTGCTGCTTATATGTGCTGTCAATCTGCTGTATGGTGTCTATTAATCTTGTTTAAATTACTAATCAAGCTGTCAATGTAATT